TTTCGTCAGCACGACGGCGTGATGACGGTGATGATGAATTTACCGATGCAGGGCTTCACCTAAGCTCTACAACGATATGATCGAGGTGGAAATCTGTGGAGGGGGCACCGCACACGGCTAAACAATGAACTTGTGTGTCTATGGGGTGCCCCCCTCCCCCGTATATAAAGGAGTGGAGGAGGGGAAGGTCCGCCCTCTCATGGCGCGCCTAGTTGGAGTAGGAGATGAAGGAAGGGAGAGAGAGAGGGAAGGAAAGGGGGGCGGCCCCCACCCAATTCGGATTGGGCTTGGGGGCGCGCCCTCCACCTTGGCCGCCTCCTCTTCTCTCCCACTAAGGCCCAATAACGCCCATACACTCCCTGAGGGGTTCCGGTAACCCCCCGGTACTCTGGTAAATGCCCGAACTCACCCGGAACCATTCCGATGTCCAAACATAGCCTTCCAATATATCGATCTTTATGTCTCGACCATTTCGAGTCTCCTCGTCATGTCCGTGATCACATCCGGGACTCTGAACAACCTTCGGTACATCAAAACACATAAACTCATAATACCGATCGTCATCGAACGTTAAGCGTGCGGACCCTACGGGTTCGAGAACTATGTAGACATGACCGATACTCATCTCCGATCAATAACCAATAGAGGAACCTGGATGCTCATATTGGTTCCTACATATTCTACGAAGATCTTTATCGGTCAAACCGCATAACAACATACATTGTTCCCTTTGTCATCGGTATGCTACTTGCCCGAGATTCTATCGGTATCTCAATACCTAGTTCAATCTCGTTACTGGCAAGTCTCTTTACTCGTTCTGTAATGCAACATCCCACAACTAACTCATTAGTTACATTGCTTGCAAGGCTTATAGGGATGTGCATTGCCGAGAGGGCCCAGAGATACCTCTCCGACAATTGGAGTGACAAATCCTAATCTCAATCTATGCCAACTCAACAAACACCATCGGAGACACCTGTAGAGAATCTTTATAATCACCCAGTTACGTTGTGACATTTGATAGCACACTAAGTGTTCCTCCAGTATTCGGGAGTTGCGCAATCTCATAGTCATAGGAACATGTATAAGTTATGAAGAAAGAAATAGCAACAAACTAAATGATCATCGTGCTAAGCTAACGGATGGGTCAAGTCAATCACATCATTCTCTAATGATGTGATCCCTTTCATCAAATGACAACTCTTTGTCCATGGCTAGGAAACCTAACCATCTTTGATTAACGAGCTAGTCAAGTAGAGGCATACTAGTGACACTCTGTTTGTCTATGTATTCACACATGTATTAAGTTTCTGGTTAATACAATTCTACCATGAATAATAAACATTTATCATGATATAAGGAAATATAAATAAAAACTTTATTATTGCCTCTAGGGCATATTTCCTTCAGTCGGCAGCAATGGCGGCCATGGCCTTCTTCTGCTCTGACTTAAGCCCGTCCCAGAGAGCTTTGCCAGCGGAGGGATCCCTTGGCGGGGAGTAGTGTGGAGAAGGATGACTATGGCTATGGCCGGGGAACCAGAGCAGCGGTTTATATAACACCAGTGGGCGGCAGACAGACGGACGGACCGGTGGCGCCGGAGGAAACGCCTCGGCAACTGCGTGCCATCAATGCGGGCGGCAAACGAGCGTATGGGCAGCCGTCGTGTCATTTGAACGCGCGGCAGTCGCCTGCATTAGGAAGCAGTGCTCTCTCGGCTGGCGCGCCGCTTTAATGCCGGCGCCAGTGAGCAGTTGTCTCCGCTCTGGGCGGGCAGGAATGCGGGCGTTGATGCTCTGGAGCTGGGCTGACCAAAAACGCGCGGGAGAGGGGAGGTTTTTTTGGTGGGCCAGAGCGGTCAGCAGCGGGCTTGGGAGTGGTCCGTTCTCTGGCAAACCTCCCCCACACTTGTCTCCGGTTTACGGGAGAAATTGTGTCCAGACCACTCCACGGATCGATACAGGTCGGCGTTGGATGGCTTCCGTCGTCCGGATGACCCGATCCGAATGGTTGTGGGAGGTTTATGAGTCCGCCTTGGAGATGCCCTTATGACCATGCTGCCGAATACTTTGGAAAACTCTAAAATTAAGCCGGATGATTACACACCTGCGTAAACCGTATCCTCTGCGTGCCACGCGTCCCGGTGGGGCCAGGCACCGCCCAAACTTTATCTCCTCATTTCATGTTGATCAGGAGAGCCACTCCTTTCTTCATCTCTCCCCGCATCCTTTTCTCCCCGAGCTCGATCCCCTTTTCTTCCTCCAGCCCTGGCCTCTGTTCTCTGTCGAACACCGCGAGCATGGACGCAATCCAAACATTGCTGCAAGCTCTACACACCGCTGCAAGCTATTGCTGCCACCACCAGTGTGGATTGATGCCGCGACGCGGCGGTGTGCTTAACACCGCGGTTGTTGATGTGGTCCGTGTTGCCGAGCGTTGTCGGCCGAGCTTTTTTGTCGGTGCAGTGCTGCCGGTGCTGAAAGAGGGGGGCAGGGGACGCCACCAGGGTGCTGCAAAGGCAACACCAACCACGACCCGTCGCTGCTGCAAGGGCGTGTGAGCCGGCAACACCGTTGCGAGTCGTCGGCGCTACGATGGAGCTCCGCCAGGCCATGTCACTGCAGTGGGGCATCGCCGGGACCGCTGGAGATGCAATGAAGCACCGCCGAATCGTGAAGCTCTATCGGGGTTGCAATGAAGCATTGCCGTCGATGGAGCTTCATCGGGGGGGTCGCCGGTGTTGCAATGAAGCTCCATCGAGAGTCGTCTAGTGCTGCAATAGAGCTTTACCGGAGGCCACAAGTGCTGCAATGGAGCTTCGTCAGTGGCCGCCGGGGTTGCACTCAAGCATCATCGGAACGACATGTGTTTCAATAGAGCATGGCCGACGGCGGCGGGTGCTGCGATGGAGCGCCGCCACGCCGATGTTGTCGCTGCGATGAAGCGTCACCGGCAGCTACCTGGGCTCCGATGCAGTGCTCGCCGACGGTTGCGGTGCTGCAAGATCGTGCGGGGGAAGGGGACTATTATGCAATGTGAGGAAGGAGATTGTGTGTGGGCGTTGGCCGTTCAAACCGGTTGAGAAGAGGGATCTGATGGTGTGGTGGGGCTGATCAAACAGCCAGCAAGGCGGCTTAAATCTTTCTGGCATCAGCCAGTTGATTTGTAGCACTGTCCATTTTACCCTAATAGTTTTGTGTTCAGAGGTGAAAGGCGTGTAAGAACTTGTTTCCCCGTAGCATATGTGATAGTAGTACCCTAGAATCAACGGGCGTGGTGCAAATCAATATGTGGTTCGATGGTTAGAGGGACTGTGGTATCCCAGCCCACCAGGGTTTAAATCCTGGTGCCCACATTTATTCCTGGATTTATTTCAGAATTTTCGGCGATGCGCATTCAGTGGGAGGAGACGTTTCCGTCGACAACGAGGTGCCTACGGTGACTTCGTAAATTTAAAGATGATATGCCGATTCAGTTTTTCGAAAATGCTAATACGGATAGGATGTGTGTGTATACGAACGCTTGTGTGCATTGATGTTAAAAAAAATCAACGGGCGTGGCAGGAGTGCGTGACCCGGGCGTGTCTGCCCTCCCACCGAACTGAAGCGCGGGGCCGGGCGGGTACAAATTCCGTAGCCGATCTCGATGCGTCACGGGGCCACGAAAAAGGCTCCAGAAAACTGCAACCGAGCGCTCGGGGAGGAGAAGCATGGCGACTTGGGTTCCCGATGCCCCTACCTCAAATTCCACAGCGGAAGCGGAATACTCCCCCGACTCCGTGCACTTAAATTCCCCAGCCCCCAAGTGCAGCGGCCGATGCACGTCAACGATTTGATTATTACCGACATTCTCCCTTATCAATGGCGATCACGAGCGGCGGGCAGCGGCACAATGCGCTGACCGGTCCACGCATGCCGATCGCCCCAGCCAGCTTCCAGCACGACGAACGCCATTTGACACCGGAGAAGAAGACGCGGCCGGCAGCCAGGCATGTCCATGAATTGAAAAGAAAAACGCCGTGATTGATCTGCTTCCACGGCGGCGAGGCAACCAGGCCCCTCGCATCATCAGATCTCTTAAAGAAGCAATTTCACAGTTCCGTAGTCTAAACCAGAGTTTTGTGGCGTGCGCTCATGGTGAATGACGGAACACCCGTTGAATCGGGCGACAGGGACTCCATTCCCGGCCGTATGATATTCAGAGCCTCCTCCTCTCGTAGAGGCGCTCGTCAATGTGCACGCTCGCCTTTATTAAAAAGCAGTATGGAAGCGCATCCGTCCAGCTTATGCCGTCGCTAAAAATTTTGGTCTTAAAATTTCGGTCCTCTGGCGTCCGTGAGCAGAAAGGATAGTCTGATCGCACAAGATGCCGAGTCTCGAGGGAGGCAGTTTTAAAATGAGGCTGCGTCTGCGTGCTCCCTCCGACTCCAAGCAACCCCTGGCTGGCAAAGTCACCGTGCTCCGCCAAATGCCGAGAGCCCGTTGAAGCCCCGACTTCTCGGCCATCGTACGATCCGTCCATGGCGCCAGCAGCCCGTTTTTTCCACCAGTTGGTTCAACACTCCAACAAACGCCAATTACTTGCATCAAGGATTCATACCAGGTGTTTCCATCTGTATCACGCGTGCGTGCGTGCGTGCAGTTCTGGTGGTGACTGGACGACGCGGTGATTGATTGGGGCTTAAACTAGTGTTGACCCTCTCTTGGATCCTCACACGGCTGCCCCCGTGCGGGCGAGCAAATCTACCGAGAAAACGCTCCGGAGGAGAGGAGAGAGAGGATTAAGAAAGGTTGCACGAGGGCGATCCGATTTCCCAGCCTTAAAACTGGGGTTCAACCCCCATTCGTGCGCCCTCAGCCATTGTACCCTTTTGCACGCCTCCCTATGTTACTCCCCTCCCTCCGCACTCAACATCCTTATATGCGCTCCGATCCTTGACATCACACGAAGTACTAGCACGCTGCCTAACCTGCGAAGGATAGATAGCTGATAGCTACTCGATGGAGAAGATGATTGGGAGGGGGGTGGAGATGGGGACGGAGGTGGAGATGTCGCCGGCTGCCAAGGAAGCGGCGGCCGCTGCCATGTTTAGCCCCTACTCGAGCCCCAGCACGGCCTTCCTGCTGCAGAGGAGAGTTCTTTCCTGGTACGTGAAGCTCATGACATGTTGCTTGTTTCTCTTGTCCGGCGATCGAATTCTGATTGCTTTCTACTGTAGGGCGAAGGAGACCGGGTCGCCGGCGACGGTGCGCGTTCGCGTCGCCGACAGGAGCTTCATTCTGCACAGGGTCAGTCAGAGCTTGCGACCAACTCAATTATGGTGTGGCGGTGGCGCTGGTTTGGTCATGATCATGCTAACCTTTGTCGTCGTCGTCGTCGTTGCAGGATCCTCTGGCGTCAAGAAGCAGGTACTTCAGCCAGGCGATGGAGGAGGTGTCCGGAGACGTCGAGCTGCCGGACAGCTTCCCCGGCGGCTCTGACGCCTTCGAGGTGATCGGGCTCTTCTGCTACGGCGACTCCGTGGCGCTCGACCCGTTCAACGTGGCGGCGGTGCGCTGCGCGGCCGAGTTCCTGGACGTGGGCGGCCTGGGCGCGCGCTGCGACCTCTACATCAACCAGGTGGTGCTGCAGAGCTGGGACGACGCGCTCATCGTCCTGCAGCGCTGCCAGCCCCTCCTCCCCGCCGCCGAGGAGCTCCTCATCGTCAGCCGCTGCGTCGAGTCGCTGGCCTTCATGGCGTGCATGGAGATCCTCGACCCGGAGCAGCGGCGGGACCAGCCCGGCGTCGACGACGCCGGCGCGCGCGGCCTGGTCGGCCGCCGCTGGGACGCCGAGGTCGTCAAGGAGCTCGCCGCGCGCGACCTCTGGATCAAGGACCTCATCGCCCTCCCCTTCGAGTTCTTCAAGCGGATCGTGCAGGCGCTGCGGCGGCAAGGGATGAAGGAGAAGTACGTGAGCCCCGTGGTGCTCTTCTACGCCAACAAGTGGGTGCTCTCCAAGAAGACCCACAAGTTCTGGGCGAGCACGGACGAGGCCGGCGACGGCGAGACCGACGCCAACAGGAGGGCCACGGAGATACTGCAGGGCGTGGTCGACCTGCTCCCGGTGGAGGCGAGCGGCGCCGTCCCGGTGGCCTTCTACTTCGCGCTGCTGTCGCGGTCGCTCGCCCTCGAGCTGAAAGAGGAGAGCCGGACGAGGCTGCGGGACCAGGTAGCGTCCCAGCTGCAGTTCGCCAGCGCGGATGACCTGCCGCTGCCGGAGCAAGACGCCGACCGGTCCGTCTCCGTCGCCGATAGCCTGGAGGTGGTGACAATGGAGAGCATCGTCTCAAACCACGTCGCCATGCAAAGACAAGGGGCCGAGGCCGTGGCGGAGTTGTGGGATCGGTACCTCGTGCAGATCGTCGCTGATCCGAAGCTCCGGCCGGAGAGGCTGGCTGAACTGATCGGCGTCGTTCCGGCCGGCGACCGGAAGACCCACGACCATCTATACGAGGCAATCAACACTTACTTACTGGTAAGACAAGTATCCTTCCGGTCACACGCTGGCATGGTTATTAGTCCGAGTGGTTTGCTGGTTTGAATTTTCAACTGTCCCTGACGAGAGGAAGCTGACGATTCTGTGTCATGGCAGGAGCATCCCGGGCTGTCCGGCGAGGAGAAGGCGGCGCTGTGCGGGCACCTCGAGTGCCGGAAGCTGTCGCACGAGGCGTGCATCCAGGCGGTGCAGAACGAGCGGATGCCGCTCCGGTTCATCGTGCAGGCGCTGTTCGTGCAGCAGATGCACACGCACCGCGCCTTCGCGGAGCGCTCCGACTCGTTCCGGTACATGCTCTCCGGCGAGCTGATCCCGGGCGTCGCCGGCGCGTACACGCCGAGCCCGGGGTGCCCCGTCCCCACGAGCCAGCCGCTGAGCACCACGAGCCCGTACACGGACGCCCACACCAACGCCGCGCTCGACGGGAAGCTGCGCGCCCGCGGCGACGACGACGCGGCGTCGGACTACGAGACGGCGAGCTTCAGGATCCAGGCGCTGGAGCAGGAGATCGTCTCGCTGAAGAAGACCCTGCAGCGGCACAACACCCTGAAAGGAGGCTCGGTTCGCAAGGACAGCAAGGAGCCGAGCTTCAGGGCGGACGCGGCGGCGCCGGTGGCGATCAGGCGGCGAGCGCCCGCGTCCGGCAGCTGCATCGGGTCCATGCGCTGGGGCTCGCAGCGGCGGTGCGCCAGCAGGATCCTGCGCGTGTTTACGAGACTGGCCGTGTTCGGGCGGAGCAGGTCCCGAGGGAAGCAGAGCAAGTGCAGGGCTGCAGCAGAGCAGCTCAGCTGCTTGTAGACCTGCAGTGCTCTTCCATTCAGGGCTCAGGAGTCGGGACAGCTTGCCAAAGAAAAATTAGTCTGAAAGTTTTGAACTTTTTACTTGTGGAATTGGAAACTGCAGATGCCACGGTGAAACCTGGCAGCCATGGATGTAGTGACTGCTCATTTGTACATACTGCTAGCAATGTTGAAAGGCTTGAATTGGTAGTTACTGTCAGGTTCAGGTGTTCATTCAGTGGAACCAGCGCGAGGTGAAGTGGGTACTTCGTCAACAACTGCCAAGATATGCATAGTTTATCTATTCATTTGTTAGGTGATGTTTACATCTTTAGGCTTGGCTTGCTGTTGTTGCACCGTGTTGTGTTTAGTTTTACACTTTAGCTACATGTCAATTGCCTGAGTTTTAAATTTTGGTCAGTCGATTTTGTGGCCGTTGGATCATGATTTGTGATTCCTGTGTTTTATTTTTTTTGCTGTGTATGATTGTGGCTGTGTTGGGCTTGGTGTGATCGACTGACCCCAATTTTGGGTCAGTCCTTGGGCTCGTTGTGGTGCCCGTTATGCTCGACGACCCGTTAATCTTCTGAGCCCAGCCCGCATCGTGGAGGTGGATCGTCTCGTCCCTGCCTTATCCAGTCGCTCGGGTGCCCTCAATCACTTCACCTCCTCTGTTCGCCACTCTCCCTCGCTCTATGTCTCCTCATCTCCCCATCCGAGCTAGGGTTCGTCGATTTCTTCGGTGTTCTTGTGATTTCCCCCTTCTTTTCTTCAGATATGATTGAGTTCTGCGGTTATTTGTCAGATCTTGAGTTGTTCTTTGTTGTTCTTTTGCAGGCTTTTCGCTCTCGACGGTGCTTTGGGTTAGGGTTCTTGTGCTCCATTAGCGAGCAAAACTGCTGTTCAGGTATGTGTATGCTCGTTCTCTTCTCCATGATTTGGTTTTTGTGGTGTTGTGTCATGTATGGTTAGGTGTTTTGCTATGTAAAAATGAGTATGATTTGGCTAGGGTTTGGTCAGTCTTCCTCTTTTGATCTAATCTTCCCGTTCTTGAGTAGATTCTTCTATTAGGCCCTATTGGGTCATAGATTGGTTCCCATCCCTCATGTTTTATTGGTGGATTAGATCTGTGCCAGTTCAAGTTCATTTTGTTGCTGACTCGTTGTTTTTTAGTTGATTTACAAGTATGAGCATGCATGTGCTAGGTTTGGATTAGATTCTTTGGTAGTTTCTAGGATATTTGATTTGATTGATGTTTACTAAGTCCGTTTTTAGGTCTTATACTATTTTATTAGGTATATTATTGAGTATTCTATAAAAGGCCTTTCTTTTTTTCTACCTTAATGCCCTTTTAGTTAGTGTAAGTCCATGGTAATAGACTTTCTTTAATCCGTGTTCTTTGTGTAAATCCTAAATGGCCATTCCTTCTTAATATTTTTAAACCTTGAGAGCTTTATCCTTTTCTGATCTGATATCCTAGTTTGAGCGTGTCCTTTTTGCATTAAGGTTAGCATTGCGTATTGATTATTTCTAGTGTCGGTTTCAAGTTGATGTTGGTGGTGGCTTTTTGTTAGTTTAGTTGATTTAGTGGAGCCGTGGATCTGTACCATTTTTAGTGATTATGCTTAAGCAGGTTTGGGTTATGGATTGATTAGTTTTGTCGGTAGTTTAGGTGTTTGGTGTGATTGATGTTCGGATCGTGAGTTCTTGGGTCTTTTGATGTCAAATTTATTGTCTATTTTCTTGAGTATACTATAAAAAGTGCCTTCTTTTTTTATCTTAATCCTTCTTAATGTGTGGCTAGTTCCCCACATTTTAGTTGCAGGTAGTGTGCCTAGTATCTTTTTTATGGTGCTTTGTTTATAGTCTAGTTAATTGCTAGGTGTGTAGTTAGTCTGGTTATGATTAGTTGATAGTATTTGACATTTTAGCTAGTGTTTTTTTGTGCGGCACTATGAAACTAGTGGTGTATATGAGGCAAGCTAGTACAACTTGTCTGTTTCAGTCTGATTGTCAATGGAAGTAGCTTCTCATGAATTGCTTTTGTGAGGTGCTTCTTCTGAATTGCAACTTGTTTTCCAGTTAGTTTCTTTTTATATGTGTATTTTTTTTCTTAAATTGCTTTAGAGAGTTTATTAATTGATACCTTGTCTATTTCTGAAAGGTATGGTTTGCCCTACATGCCGCAACCCTAACGGGCCCTGCCCCTTGGTGGTGTGCTTGGGGTGAATGGATTTCTTCAATAGTTTGATGTTGTGCTCCATGAAAGTTGTTGGAGGCGCATGGTGAGTTCAATGTACTGATGACCCACAAGTGTAGGGGATCTATCGTAGTCCTTTTCGATAAGTAAGAGTGTCGAACCCAACGAGGAGCAGAAGGAAATGATAAGCAGTTTTCAGTAAGGTATTCTCTGCAAGCACTGAAATTATCGGTAACAGATAGTTTTGTGATAAGGTAATTTGTAACGAGTAGCAAGTAATGAAAGTAAATAAGGTGCAGCAAGATTGCCAAATCCTTTTTGTAGCAAAGGACAAGCCTAGACAAACTCTTATATAAAGGAAAACGCTCCCGAAGACACGTGGGAATTATCGTCAAGCTAGTTTTCATCACGTTCATATGATTCGCGTTCGGTACTTTGACAATTTGATATGTGGGTGGACCGGTGCTTGGGTACTGCCCTTACTTGGACAAGCATCCCACTTATGATTAACCCCTATTGTAAGCATCCGCAACTAAAACAGAAGTATTAAGGTAAACCTAACCATAGCATGAAACATATGGATCCAAATCAGCCCCTTACGAAGCAACGCATAAACTAGGGTTTAAGCTTCTGTCACTCTAGCAACCCATCATCTACTTATTACTTCCCAATGCCTCCCTCTAGGCCCAAACAATGGTGAAAATGTCATGTAGTCGACGTTCACATGACACCACTAGAGGGATGACAACATACATCTCATCAAAATATCGAACGAATACCAAATTCACATGGCTACTTATAGCAAGACTTCTCCCATGTCCTCAGGAACAAACGTAACTACTCACAAAGCATATTCATGTTCATAATCATAGGGGTATTAATATGCATAATGGATCTGAACATATGATCTTCCACCAAGTAAACCAACTAGCATCAACTACAAGGAGTAATCAACACTACTGGCAACCCACACGTACCAATATGAGGTTTGGATACAAAGATTGGATACAAGAGATGAACTAGGGTTTGAGATGAGATGGTGCTGATGAAGATGTTGATGGAGATTGACCCCCTCCCGATGAGAGGATCGTTGGTGATGACGATGGTGATGATTTCCTCCGGGAGGTTTCCCTGGCAGAACAGCTCCGCCGGAGCCCTAGACTGGTTCCGCCAAGGTTCCGCCTCGTGGCGCCGGAGTTTCGTCCCGTGAGCTAGCTTATGATTTTTTCCTCGACGAAAGACTCCATATAGCCAAAGATGGGCATCGGAGGGCCACCAGGGGCCCCACGAGGCAGGGGGTGCTCCTAGGGGGTAGGGCGCGCCCCCACCCTCGTGGATGGTGGGTGGCCCCCCTCTGGTACTTCTTTCGCCCGATATTTTTTATATATTCTGAAACATGCTCCCATGAAGTTTCAGGACTTTTGGAGATGTGCAGAATAGGTGTCAAATATTTGCTCCTTTTCCAGCCCAGAATTCCAGCTGCTGGCATTCCCCCTCTTCATGTAAACCTTGTAAAATAAGAGAGAATAGGCATAAGTATTGTGACATAATGTGTAATAACCAATAAATATCGATATAAAAGCATGATGCAAAATGGACGTATCAACTCCCCAAGCTTAGACCTCGCTTGTCCTCAAGCGAAAGCCGAAATCGAAAAATATGTTCACATGTTTAGAGATAGAGGTGTCGATAAAATAAAATACGGACATGAGGGCATCATGATCATTCTTAGAATAACATATATATATATATATATATATTGTCATATGATCTCCCATGCTAAAGTAACAATTCATTCACATACTCAAGTATGAATCAGAAACTTCATTGAAAACAAACAAACTATAATCTCAGTCATTGAAGCAATTGCAATTTATCATAAGATAGGAAAGAGTTAATATAAGAGCTTCTCAGCAAGTCCACATACCCAACCATCTTTTAGTCTTTCACAATTGCTAACACTCACGCGATATTTATGGTTATGAAGTTTTAATCGGACACAGAGAAAGACAGGGGCTTATAGTTTTGCCTCCCAATGTTTTACCTCAAGGGGAATGTCAACAATAATAGTTCATGAAAACCCACATCCAATTAGCTATATATATCATGATCTTTCCAACACATTATGCTTGCCAAAGGATAAAATGTAAAAAAGGGAAAGGTGAAGATCACCATGACTCTTTGCATGAAGTATAAGACAAGAATAAAAGATAGGCCCTTTGCAGAGGGAAGGAGAGGTTGTCATGTGCTTTTATGGTTGGATGCACAAAATCTTAATGCAAAAGAACGTCACTTTATATTGCCACTTGTGATATGAACATTTATTATGCAGTCTGTCGCTTTTATTTCTTCCACATCACAAGATCTTATAAAGCTTATTTTCTCCACACTAATAAGTCATACATATTTAGAGAGCAATTCTTATTGCTTGCAACGATGCCAACTTACTTGATGGATCTTACTCAATCCATAGGTAGATATGGTGGACTCTCATGGCAAAACTGGGTTTAGGGATATTAGGAAGCACAAGTAGTATCTCTACTTGGTGCAAAGAAATTGGCTAGCAAGAGAGGGAAAGGCAAGCTCAACATGTTGGATGATCCATGACAATATAATTTATCTCAGATGTAAGAAAACATAACCCATTACGTTGTCTTCCTTGTCCAACATCAACTCTTTAGCATATCATGCTGTAATGAGTGCTCACAATTATAAAAGATGTCCAAGATAGTATATTTATATGTGGAAACCTGTCTTTCTTTATTACTTCCTATTAATTGCAACGATGACCAAGACTATGTTACTCTCAACAACTTTTA